GATTTTGTAGAGGCTAAAAATCATAATTTTATTATCTATAACCAACAATTTTTGGTTATTTTTGGTTGTTTTGACCAATTGACATATAATTTCATGGTAGCAAAAATTCATAATTTTATGAGCTATAACTCATGATTTTTGGCAATTTTATTAGTTTTTTTCAACCCATTGGACAAATAATTTTATGGAGACTAAAATTAAAGATTTCGTAAGCTATGACCAAAGGTTTTTGACTATTTTTAGTCGCTTTGATGCCAATTTAAAATGATTTCATGGAGACTAAAATTAAAGATTTCACAAGCCTATGATTTTGGACTATTTGAGTCATTTTGAGCTATTGTTAAGTAATTTGGCAATATCCAAAATTTATGATTTCATGAGCTATAACCCATGATTTTAGGCCATTTTTAGTCATCTCGACCCATTGTCAAATAATTTCATGGTGATAAAAATTCATAACTTCTTGAGCTATTACCATGATTTTTAGCTAGTCGTAATCATTTTAACCCATTGTCAAATAATATCGCGGTGGTAAGACTTTATGATTTTGTAAGCTATAACCCATAATTTTTAGTCTTTTCTAATTGTTTTGACCTGTTATCAAATAATTTTATGTTAGCAAAATTCACGATTTTATGAGCTATAATCCATGGCATAGGGCTTTTTTTTAGTATTTTGATCCATTTGAAAATAATTTCCTCGAGAACAAAATGCACATTTTCATGAGCTATAACCCACGATTTTTGCCCATTTTTATTCATTTTGAACAAACAGAAATAATTACTTGGAAGCAAAAAGTCAACATTTTTTGAGCTATAACCATGTTTTTTGCCATTTTTTGTTATTTTATCCCATCATCAAATAATTTCACGGTGCCAAAAATTCAAAATTTCATGAGCTATAACCTATGATTTTATCTATTTTTAGTTATTTCTTCCATTAGCAAATAATTTCACAGTGGCAAAAATTTATGATTTCGTGAGCTATAACTTATAATTTCGTGAGCTATAACTCAAAGTTTTTGGTCATTTTTAGTCATTTCGAATCATTATAAAATAATTGCGCAATGATAGAAATTTATGATTTCGTAAGCTATCACTTTTTAGCTATTTTTAGTTATTTTGACCTATTGTAAAATAATTTCAAGGGGGCTGAAATTAAAGATTTCATAAGCTATAACCTACAATTTTTGGTCCTTTTTAGTCATCTTAACTTGTTGTCAAATAATTTCGTGGTAGGAAAACTTTATAATTTTGTAAGCAATAACCCATAATTTTTAGCTATTTTTAGTTACTTCGACCTGTTGTCAAATATTTTCCTAGAGGCAAAAATTATAGATTTCATGCGCTTTAAACTTATGATTTTTTCATTTTAACCCATTGTCAAATAATTTTGTGGACACCAAAATTTACAACTTCATAAGTTACAACCCGTAATTTTTTTATCTTTAGCCATTTAGACCCATTGACAAATAATTTTATAGAGGCTAATTCATGATTTCATGAGCTATAATCCATAATTTTTCCATGCTTTTAATCCTTTAGATCCTTTAAGAAATAATTTCATGTGGCAAAATCTAATATTTTATAAGCTATAACCCATATTGTTTTTTGTATTTAGTCATTTTAACTGTTGTCAAATAATTTTCTGGTGACCAAAATTCACGATATGATGAGCTATAACTCAAGACTATTGGCTATTTTTAGTCATTTTGAACCATTGCTAAATAATTTTGTGGAGTCCCAAAATTCACGATTGTTTTCGTTGAAAGTCGCTTTCATCATTGATTTTATTAAAACTTCAATCACTTACGAATGAATTCAAATAACAAAAATAAAAATTACAACTCTCTTGAAAATAAACACAAGAATCGTTTATCGGCTCTTGCTTGCGTGGGTGTCTTCGCCTGTGCTGGGGACGTCGATATCCGTGGACGACTGTGGATCAGATCCGGTTGTCGAAAAATTGACGGAGCTCCTACTTCACCAAGGAAGTATTTGCTTGAAGCTCTGAAATCGACCAAGCAAAATCAGTAGCTCTTCTCGGATTAAGACTAAGCCTAATATTAAGGAACGGACGTACGGGGCTTCGTATCCTTCGAATGACTTTTCCTTTATGTTGAAGTTCGTCGGGATCTCATTGGCCTTTGCTGAAATTTCGTGCTCCTTAACTCTTCAATCCAGCAGCACCTCATCCTCTTAATAAAATTTCAGATCTACAAAATGGAGGCCTTGGGCTGATATTTATAGGCCTCGGGTGCAGTTATTTGGATGAGAATGAGTGATTTGGCCTTATCTTCAATTAACAACAGCCTAACCACGTTTGTGAATGATATCAAGTCAGTTAGGAACCCATGGAACTGATAAATCCTGTGAAAACCACTTTAAAACCTTTGAAAACGCATCCGAGGGTCTAAACAGTGCGATGGACTCTGCTGACTCGCGGGTGGCGTGGGTCAGTAGGGTCTGACTCGCGCTTGCGCGGGTCGGACAGAGGGTGGCGTGGGTCAGTAGGGTCTGACTCGCGCTTGCGCGGGTCGGACAGATCCGACCCGCGCTGGCGCGGGTCGGCCTGTGCTGTCCCGCACTGGCGCGGGTTCGTCGCCTCCGCTGAGTACTTCTCTTTTTGCACTTTTCTTTCCGGGACTTGTACTTTTCGCTACTTTGGTCGACTCGTTGACTTGTACGCTTCGTTGCGGGACTAACCGTCGAACGCGTTGACTACTTAGGGTTGCACGTGTTGTTTGACATGCACGCGTTGATTGATGCGCGCGTGTTGACCAACACGCACGAACTGATTGACGCGCTGTGTTGACCGACGCACACGAAATGATTGACGCGCGTGTGTTGACCGACGTGCGTGAGCTGATTGATGTGCACGTGTTGACCGACACGCGCAAACTGATTAACGCGCAAGTGTTGCCTGACGGGCATGAGCTGATTGATGCGCACGTGTTGACCGATGCGCCCAAGCTGATTGACGTACGCGTGTTGACAGACGCGCACGAGCTGATTGACGCGCGCGTGTTGATCGACGCGCGTGAACCGATTGGGTAAACCTTCTTGACTCATCCACTCTTTGCTTCGAGTTTCGTGCGGGCTCTCATAGGCAATTTTAGACGCCTACAAATACCCTCTCCAACGTGTTTCAGCCTCATTCTTTTATAGCGGAGTCTAGAATGCTTTGGATATGATAGACCCCCACCTTCAATCGGCGTCAAAGGACCTATAACTTGTTTCAATTCTTGACTTCTCTATATTTCAGCCTATTCTGTATTTTGTCGAATAGCTAAAAATTTTCCTGGTGCTGCGTTTATCGTCTGACCGTTGTTGAAGCCTCGAACCGGAATTAGTGAGTTGATTTTAGCTCGTGTCATTGAGTTGACTTTTGAACTAATTATCTACGTCACAACGCGTTGACCGGCGTTGACCTGAGAAGAACCAGTTTATACTCGTATACTCCTGGGAGTTTCGGGAATTATTTTAACCTCGTGTACCCGTCGGAAGTTGCCGGGTTATCCTTAAGAATTATTACACGTAACATTCTCCAGGAACTTCCCATCAAAAGTGGAGAATAGTTTAGACTCGTATACCCATTGGAGCGTACGTGGGTTTCGAATATCTCGAATATGAGCGCAAAATGCCGTGAAATTAACCGGGAGTATGAAAGTGGATCCCGAATATTCCGTGGATGAGCGAAACTACCGCGAAGCCACCTGGAAATATGAAAACAGGTCCCGGATATTCTGAATATGAGCGAAAAATACCGCAAAATTAATCGGGAGTATAAAAGTGGGTCCCGAATATTCCGTGGATGAGCGAAACTGCCGCGAAGCCACCCGAAAATATGAAAGTAGGTCCCGAATATTCCAAAAGCAAAAATACCGCGAAATTACCCGGGAGTATGAAATTGGATTCCGAACATTCCGAAAGTGAACGAAAGCGGGTGGGAATACAAAGAAACGGATGCCGGATCGTGTCTGACCCGTGCGAACGCGGGTCATATCGATCTGACCCATGCGAACGTGGGTTGGATCGAGTCTGACCCGCACGCGCGGGTCAGATTTGATCCGACCCGCGTGCTCGCGGGTCGGGCGGCGATCCGACCCGCATAAAAGCGGGTCGGGTTGGCTATACTTGGGGACTTAAGTCCCTGTTCTCCTCTCCCTCTTCTAATTTTCCGTTCCAGCCCCCCTATCTTCGGTTTCCTTCAACCTCCTTCTCTTTTCTTCTTCCTCAAACTCTATCTCTTCAAGAGTTCTTCCCAGCTGAATCTCCTTCTCAAGCTTGGCTCTCCTCTAGACTTCTTCCCCTTTAAGAACTCTCCTCCTTTAAGAGTTCTTCCCCTTCTCATCTTAGACCGAATTCCAAGAGCTAGGGTTTCGATGGGTCTTGATTTGGGCTCGGACGTTGTCGTGGGTCTTCTTCATCAAACTCGTTCTCTCTGATTCAAGTAAGCTTCATCCTCAATTTTGATTAAACTCCATATTGCATACTCATTTGTGAAGGGGTGGTTGAGACCTAATTTTGAATTTTGGCTTGGATTTGAGGATGATTAACGGACGAGTGTTAACTGTTGGTCGGAATATTTGTTGTATGTAACAGAAAATTGATGTTTTGACTCTTGTGTTCTTGACTCTTTCGCGCCTTGGAACCTCCTTGTCAAACTGATATATATATATATATATATTGAATTTTGGCTTGGATTTGAGGATGATTAACGGACGAGTGTTAACTGTTGGTCGGAATATTTGTTGTATGTAACAGAAAATTGATGTTTTGACTCTTGTGTTCTTGACTCTTTCGCGCCTTGGAACCTCCTTGTCAAACTGATATATATATGAGTTGTAACATCGGGCAATGTGGGCGATAAAACAGTCGAATTTTAATCCAGACTCGGCAGATAAGAACAGATTGCTCCAAATAAATGAGTTGGAAGAAATTCGAAATGATGCTTACATAAACTCAAAAATTTACAAAGAGAAAACCAAATGTAAGCCATGATGTATAATGTTTGTGTTAATAAACTTGTTAATATGCGTCTTAATTTGCCCAAATATATTTAATTTTTAACTCTTTCTGAATTATAATTTTCTTGTAGGGCTAAGATAACACACTTGAGAATTCCGGCCAATTTGTGTTATTTTCGAGATTTAATTGATAAGCGAATAAAATTAGATGAAAGACACCTAAAAGCCCTACAGACGACACCTTTTCACAGCTTTCTCAATATACCCACATCCTTGAGCAATGAGCAAATAGCAATTGATTGCTTGATTCAAAATTTTAATCCTGATAAATGCTCATTCATGATTGGGAATAAAAATTGTGTGTTCGGTATAGATGATATTCACCGAATTACCGGATTGCCAAAGGAGGGAATTCCGATAAAAATGAGTGGGGCAGCGGCTAATACAATCTACACCTATTTTGTAAAGAATTATAAGAAAGCCGATGAGGAAAAGAAGGCGGTGATTTCGGGGAAGCGCGATAGAATGGCCGAGATGATTGTAGATATGATTAATGAAGACCCTATAATATGTGTGAAACTTATTGTGGCTTTCATTATCGGCTTCATATTATGCCCGCGGACATGTAAGACATGTCCCTTGTGGGCGTTTAGATATGCGGAGCAGTTATCAACTTTGCATAAATATAATTGGTGCCATGCGGTGTTCACTCTTCTTTGCAAAGAGATGAGTAAATCAAAGAAGTCTCTTAGTATGCGGGAATTAGGTCAGCGCTCAAATGCCGGGTACATGGGTGGTTTTTCCTCCGTTTTACTGGTGAGTTACATGAACATTATTTTGTATATCTTTTCATTTTGATAATGATTATTGTTTATGCACATGCTAATGTGTAGTTTCTTTTTTGTAGGTTTGGTTTTATGAAAAAGTAGGGGAATTAGAGTACACTTCAGATATTGAAAGGTTACCGCCGCTCTTTTGTGTGAAGAGTACTGGAAAGTGGAGGAGGACTACTATGAACAAATTATATAGAGTCCCGAAGTTGGTTACAGATAATGGCCAAGAGAATACTCCTCTTATTCATACGGCATCGCCAATAGTATTTGTACATATCGTTGCTCTAATAGTTCATTATTTTATGTCCCTTTTGTTAGTATCTATGTTTGCAACTATAGTATACGTACTAATACTAGCTTTTTTTTGTCAAATAGGAATCAAGGAAAGCTGAATTAATTTTCTTAATTGCGGAGAAGACGTACGAGTTGAATGAGCTCACTACAGAATTACGAGAATTAGAAGAGCGTAGTGCTAGATGCCAAAAAAAACCAAGGAGAAAGAGGATGACGGAAATGTCTGAAGAAAAAAAAAATCAAAGAGGATATGGAAGCTAAGGAATATGAGAATTTGGAAGGAACTGGGGAAGCCGATTTATGTGATGACTTTGTGATGAGCGCAAGAGACGTGAGAATTTTAGAAGATGCTCGGTGAGTTTAGTTTTTTAAATTTTCTTGCAATTTTAATATTTATATTTTCCATATAATTCTTGTGTAACTCTTTGTTAATTATATGCCTTCTCGACTCTATAGAGATGTTTCTCAAAAATATGAAGGTGGTAATGAGAATAACAGAGAAACGCCATCTATCAAACGGGCTGTCGGAAAGAGGGAGAGGAAGGATGGACCCTCTGTTACTTCACCTTATATGCCTCTAGATCAACCAAAGGAAGGCACAAAGAAGAGTCATGTCATCCAGATATTGGATAGTCCTGAGGGGAAAAAAAAGTGCAAAAATCAAGAAAGCTTCATACCTACATCTAGAGACTATCCAGGTAAGGCACTGGCGTTTGATTATGAGAACAAATTAATTGAAGACTTTCTACAATCGAGAATGAACAGGTAACTGTTACTGACTTATTCTAATAATAATCTTTGAATTTACTTAATTCTAGTAGCAATTTTCTCACAATGTACTTTCATATAGTGATACGTACATTTGGAAGTGTGCCGAAGCAAGCGTATCTCGCTTAGATGCTTATATACTATTAACGGGAGGTGAACTCAGTGACGATGTAGGTTCTAAACAATTGTGTTATTGATTGTTTGATGTTGTATATAAAATAATTTATATTAACTATTTTATTCATTCATGGTAATTTTTGTAGGTGATCGATGCATTTGTTATTCGGCTTTGTAACAAGATTGAAACAACTGATAGTTATGATCGAAAGATACATGTCACAAGACCTTGGCTTGCAGTAAGTATATCCTTGTTTTTTTCACTAATTGGTGGATATTATTATTATGTTATCCCACAATGTTGACATTATTGCATCTTTTAGCAAGCATTTCTAGAAGGAAATCTTGAAATGGTGGCAAAACGAATGAAGGAAAATGTTTCTCAGCAGAAGTTCTTGGAGTGTGAAAGAATTCTGATCCCGATTGTCAGCTCCGGACATTGGCACCTGGTAGAGTTAGTGAGAGAGGAGACAAAATTCTATCACTACTCCTCAATCAACTCCCCCATTTATACCGCCGATGCTGTGAAATTTATAAATAAGTTTATGAGTTTCATTGAGAGTAATTGGGGATTGGGGAAATTGGAGCATCATGGTCTTGTGTCAGTTGCCGTGCCACAACAAGGACCGTAAGTGTTTCATGCATTTCTAATTTAATTGTTCATTTTTTTGTTTCATTGTCATTTACAATATTGTAATATTTTTCCCTTAAATGCAGAACGTTAGATTGCAGGATCTTTATGATTGAATTCATTAACAGCATTGTCGAAAAACGGTC